GTATTTTGCTCGGATGCCCGGGTATTGATTATTGCCGAGCAAATCCATCAATACAAATCGAGCCGGAGCATTGCATTATCAGTTGACGAATAACATGCGATTCTACTTGGGGTAGGGGGGAAGTTTGCGTGCGTTCACCGGACCAAATAAAAGTTCCTTCAATAACTCATCAAATCCTTCATCTCCTAGAGCAATGGAGGTTCCGCCTCTCTTAATCCACCTACACAATTATCTCCCGGCGACGTCGGAGGAATCTTGGACGGCGTCCTGGAGACCTATGGAGACACGGGATAATCAGCGTCATCCCCATCGCAGGAGGACGCAAATCATTCCTTACTCAACCTCCCGGTTCCGTCAGGAGCTAGACATGTAAGCTTGTTACTATTCCCTCTCGATTTTTTGATATCTAGGTGTTTGACTCTTTTATAGCTCCAAAGTTCTCAAACACCTCCCATCATCGCGGCGAATTGGAGCTTTCTTTTTTGCACGAAACTGAAAGTTATTATTGGGCTTATTAACAAGTGTTAGTGAATTATGCTTCCTTTATCATAAAATATATCGTATGTTCGTTGTGGCGTCTGGTCTTGTGTTCGTTGGCTATTTCTATTAATTTATTAGTCTTAGTTTGAATTTCTTATACTTGTATATGTGCTTCTTGCACTTGTACTGAAATTTCAAATCAAAGCTTATTCCCTATTGCTTTGTCAATGCTATTTTCTTATGTTTTGTAAGTTTGATTCTCATGTTGTTTGCCAAAGGTTTAGCAAAGAACGTTCACCACTTGGGTCTGGACCCGTGTGTTCAAGGCCTAAATTATCCTTCATTGAAGATGGCTTCTGGTGATGAGAATGACCTGCTTTTACCGAATACTTAATAGCAAGATCAATGCATTCAGTATGGATGACTTGTGTTGATAAATATCAATATATGCTTGTATACTAATGAAAAAATGAGAGAAATTTCATATTCTTAAAAAGCATGAAAGAAGATGAGCTCCTGTTTTCAAATGAATCCCTCCACAAAAAATTGATAATTTAATTTAAGTTTATACTATTGATGTGAAGATTGGATAGCTCTTCGGAAAAAAGCAAGCAGGAGACTCTTAAATCCTTTCCACACTTTTTCTTTCAAGTCAAATCATGCTGTTAAAAGACGTTTCTACTTTTATGAACCAACCCTCGCATCCTCTCACTGACCTAAATCCTTAACCATTCATATCTATACCAATCTACATCATATTGTACTAATGATGTTAAGGAGTTTTGGTCCCCTTTGATTCATCCTACCTAAAAAAGGGAAAGAGAGAAAATGTCTATCATCTTTAAAACCAAATGTAAGAAAAGATCTTCATTTCAAAATTTTAAATTATTTTATTCATTTAGTGGGAGAGAAAGTATTATGTCTATATAATACAATAAGAAAAAAAACATTCTCTTATTTTGAAACTTTTTAAAATCCAATGAAACAAAGGAGAGGGCTTCATTTCCAAAATGGGCACCCCACCTTAATCTTCCAAATTTTCTATTATAAGCATATAATGAGAGCAATGAAAGGCGTTATATGAATTGATGTACATTACTATAAGGACATTATGACATCTAAAATATAAAAGGGAGTTCATATTTTTCTAGATAAGGAAAATTCAATAAAGATGTAACTTTTATTGCATCATATATATATATATTAATAATATATATAATATATATTTCTATAATCTATATTTTTAGATGTATTTGCCTTATCTATATTTATTAGATATGATCAATACACAAGTGACCCAATAGGCCAACGAAGTCCTTCTATTTGAAAGGTCTTGGTATAAAAATAGTCATGTTGGTAGATTTCAGGCTTGAAAGCTTGAGATTGAGTGAGAATTGGACTGGTGATGTTTACGAAATTTTAGGCAAGCTCGGACCCATCCTCGAGCTTAGATGAATCTATAATAGTCCTATGAAATTTCATTTTCTTGAGACCATACTTAAGATTTATTGTTAAATTATAGATTTTCTTATCCTTTAGGTTGTCATTTGTAAGTGCTCCTTTTTTCAATTTATTTTATGCGAGTGGGTGACCCATGGTCTTGCCTTATTCATTAAGAGCTGGGTATGATTGCACTATTCAACCCAATGATCAGGTCCAAGCTGACACATGCTTGAGATAGACAGGCTTATGCTTTGATAACACCTGAAGCCATGCTAGGTTTCGTTAATGATCAATACCTAAATCTTTTTGTTTGCATAAGGTTGTAAAATTAAAAGAAAATCTCCATTTAAAATTTTTTTAACAATTGTGTTGTGGAATCTTATTTGATGAAAATCTTAATAAAGTTATTAGTATTCATCTAATTCAAATTATCAAATTCTAATTATATATTATTTAATAAGCTATTTACACTATTTGATGTTTAGTCGTAATTTTTTCTGTGCATGCATCTCACTGGGTTAGGACTTGTAATGATTATATACCATAACATGAAAATGCAAATGCTGCGAGAATGTGTTGGAGATTTTTTTGAGTTTGCTGAAATATAAAAAAAAGTATTTCATCTTCACACATAGGACATGTTAATTTAGTTTAAATTTGATTGAGATTATAAGGATGTACACAAATAAAGAACATGTAGTGGGGACGGTGTGATTTTTAGGCTTCGAGGTGTTTAACTCTATTGTTCATTGTCTTCTAATCCCTTTAAATATAATTACTGTAACAGATCCAATATTATTATAGATAACATCAAAGCTTTGTAGTAAAACAAGGGAAGATGGCCAATATGGCAGCTTGATGCTTTGCTTAGAAACATGCCAATGAATTCTGTAACTAAATGATAATTACGAGCTATTTTTGTTTGCAACTCTTGAAGCATTGGCTATTTAAGTAGATGATGATTTAAAACCAGAGAAATTTGAAATTGGACTTTTCCTTTCTAGAATCCTGAATTAAAGTATGGGATCTGCTTATACATTGGAAATAAGAAAGTGGACGACTTAGGATGAAGATGAAGTAATATGAAATAAAGTAATGAAAAAGGGGCAGCTCAAAGGTCATACAGTTAGAAGTTGTTTAGTAGGAGTAACTTGAGCTAGAGTTAATAGCACATAGCAAGAATGAATCCAGATAATTGGGATAAGACTTTCTGATGACAATGATGATGATAGATGGTTGGATAGGAGTGGAGAATATTAGATGTATTTATGCCATTTAAATGACAAGTTTTTTTCCTATTTTTTCTCTTTAAGAACTGATGAACACAAAATTTTTTTGGAGAAAAAGGACAACAACTATAGTTCTTTCCAATGTTTATTCTGTGCTGCGTGTTATATTATATAATATATATATATAATATATATATATATATATATATATATATATATATATATATATATAATATATATTAATATATATATATAATATATATATATATTATATATATATACATGGTTTAAAATTGCCCAAATGAGGCTCGCCTGCCTTTGCACAAATTCCAATAAAAACGCCTCGATGCTTATGCCTTGAGTTTTTTTTATGAGGCTTGCACCTCAACTTAGTGGGAGGTCCGCCTTGAGGCTCCCTCGCCTCACTGGCATTAGGCTTACACCTCACGCTATATATATATTTAAAATACATAAAATCTTGAAGTAATATGCCCGGCATTGGACTCATAGGAGAGGAAGGGAGAGAGGCTGTCATCATAATGATGATTCAATAATGAAGAACCCCTTAGTGATGACGACTGCTGATGACTTATGAGTTCTATTGATATGTTCATTGCTATTTATGTTTGAAAATTGGAATTATGTTGTTAATGAAGAATATTGGGATTTGGAAAGATAGAATTTTGAGTTGAACTATATTTCATGTTGTCTTATTATTGGATATTTTGATTTCATTTCATATTTTATGTTTTTTATGTTTTATATTATTCACTCATTAGTATATAAAAAATTTATCATTTTATATTTACGCAATCTTTTGTTTGATCTCAAAAACGCCTTGAGGCTACGCCATCGCCTCACGAATGAAAAAACGGGCTCAATACCCGAATACGCAATTTCAAACATTGATTATATATATATTATATATATATATATATATATATTTGAGAGAAAAGGACACAACAATATGGTTCTTTCAATATTATTCTGTGGTGCTACTTAATATTGTTTTAATCTATACGTTATCTTCCTACTGAATCTCTTCTCCTCAACTGCTCATATTTTTAATGGTGAGCGAATTTTGGAGTTACTTTATTCAATTATGTGTGTCAATGAGTGTCCAGGGGAAAGATCCATGTTTAATGCCAAGGGAAAACTAGGTATTCTGGGTATGTTTTTTTTCTTATTATTATGTTAAATCACGCTTTGTTTTATGATTTCATTGGCATTCCCATGCAATTTGATTGTGTTATAGAGCTTTAAACTATAATAGTCCCTTTTTACAGTACGGAGCGATGAAGAAGATGTGATTGTCGTGGCAATGTTGTGGATAGATTATTTTGCATGTCTTAGTTTGGAGATCGGGTAAGCTAAAGCTATCAAATTAGTGTAATTCATCAGGATTGGAATTAGTCAATCAAGCAAGGCTCACAATGATGACTGTATTTTGAAATTGTTGACGCTTGTAGTTTATAAGAAGAGTACTATTCAATACCTAGGCTAACAAATGCAAACGTAGGTTCCATAGTTTCACATTTTGGTTCCAAGAACCCTACCTTTTCACACATGAATTTTGAAATTGTTATCATGTAGTTTGCAATTTTTTGTTTTTAGTTTTTTTTTTGTTAGTTATTAAACATGAATTTGGCTTCATCGGATGGCATTTATAAATATGCTAATCTATAGCAACCTTGCTTCTTTTTCTTATAACAAGCTTTTGGCGGATTTCTTCATTGTATAGAGAATAACAATGTTCTGCTATTGGAAATTTTTTTACAGAGGCTCCACTAATAACTTGCTTTGGCAAATATTCAACTCTGTAGGAAATTTGTCATGAATGCTTCTTATCCAAAGAGTAAAAGTTCATATATGTGTCCGCCTCATCTACAAAAAGTCCTCAGCCAAATAATATCAATTGACCGTAATGATTGACATAAAGAAGAAGAAAATAGCATTGCTTGTTGATTTGTTAATTAGGTCGTGTCAAATGCAATGGAATTGCAAAAACTATTAATAAAATGATCTTAAGCGAGCAATAATCTAAAAGATTTGTCATGCATGCTCCTTATCCAAAGAGTAAAAGGTCATATATATGTCTGTCTCATCTACAAAAAGTCCTCAACCAAATAATACAAATTGACCTTAATGACTGACATAAAAAGGAAGAAGAAATAGCATTGCATGTTGATTTGTTAAGTAGGTCGTGTCAAATGCAATGAAATTGCAAAAAATATTAATAAAATGGTCTTAAGGGAGCATTGGTCTAAAAGATGCTTTGCAATTTTCTTTCATCATTTGCAGCCCAACTGTAGAAAAAATATGCTGACATCTTGTTTAATATTGAATAAGCTTCAACGTCTCAATCACTATGTCTAGATTTGTTACTCCTTAAAAACATGATTTTGACAATCTTTTTCCTAGGAGCTAGTCAGAGATCCATCAAATATTGCACTTATTAATTGTTTTGAGTAATTTTGACTTTAGTATTGGATTGTGATTACTTCTTTAGTGATTTTGGTAACTCCCTAAAACATCTTATGATCCGAAGCATGACAACATCAAATGGATGGTTGTTCTTCAATTTAATTTCATAAATCTACTAATGATTATTCAATTGATGACCCTAGTTTACAACCATAGCCGTAGATGTAGTCTTGATGATTCTTTGGGTTTGTTGTTGTACACTTTACTTTCCCTTCTTTTAAGCTGTAAAGTTGTAATGATATTTGATCTTTGCAAATATACAACTTGTTTTCCTTGCAACACGGAACTCAGATTTACAACCATAAGCTTTGTAGAGCATATAGTCATCATCAAAGAAGTAAAAATTTATCCAAACTTTGGGGAGATGCTTCTCACAAATAAATCATAATTTGACTATTTCTATCTCATTTGTATTTTCATTTTAATTTCTTCAACGTCACAATTTTCAAGTATCGAAAAATATTAAATTATGTTAGAGTAGAGTACCATAAACCCCCTCTGAAAAGGCAACTTTTATGGCATAACTAAAAACTTGAGTAAGAAATGCATAGTTTTAAATCATCACCCTTTTCATCTAAGCTTAATTTATATAACAACCACAACAATCTGATATCATAAGAGTAAATTAATGCATATTATTAAAAAAATGACGAACCATTTTAGATTTAAATTATATTTTAATATTTGGAACCTTTCTCTTTGCACTGTAATTTATAATGATTTGACCAAAAGTATGCTTATCTTTGATGGTCTAGAATGGAATTATTGTCACAATAAAACAATTGTGAAAGTTGCGATGATGTTACTTGTGAATGAGAAAACATAAGTGAACCACATGGTCGTGGGGAATTGTTGGGATAATTACAATAAAAAGAGTACTATTGTGGATAATTATTAGACGATAGAGTTGGAAGATGGAATGAAAGATATTATGTAGGAGGAAGGCCACATCTAGGATAAAAAAGGTTATAGGGATGGAAATAGTCATGGTAGACCAGGATACTTATAGTTTATTGAAATATAAGAACGAAATGTCTAGCTTCCGTCAGTAAATAGCTGAAAACAAATGAACAAATTATAGAGAAATATTTTGCACGAAATTTCTTTCTATGAAAAACTATAAACAGATTCAGAGTTATGCAATATATTAATTTAAGTATAAAATATAAATGTAGGCACAAGATATTTTATAGGGGATAGCATTCAGGAATTTCATCCTCGTTGATGATACCAAGAGAGCAAAAATCAAAGAAAGGTTGGTGGCAAGGGTTGGTCGGACTTACATTGGTGAGAACAGGGCAGAGTAGGAAGAGATGAGGCTGGCAATTATGGAAAGAAATGCATTTAATTATAACATAATAATATTATTATTTTTTATTAATAAATTTTAAAGTAATAAAATATTATAATATATGTTTAAATGTTCAATAAAATAAATTTACATTTTTATAAAATTGATATTAAATATGTTTAATTAGGAGAAGGGAATCATGAAAAAAGGGGCATTGACGGCAAATTGACTAAACCCTAAAATTCCTAATCGCACCCTTATATATCTCCCGAAAGGCCGAAGCTTGTATTTCTGGCTTTTGTGGTTCTGCGGAATGGAGCGACTGGTTTCCCGAACATCCTGAAGCTCTGAATAGAAGCGCCATTTCTGTTCATTCCGCTGACCGTCCTGAACACTCTCTCCTTTCTTCCCTCGCCGTTCTACCGACACCGACCAGCATCAAGGCGCCATCGATGTTAACTCGGTAAGTTTATATGGCCTTGATTTCATCTTCCTCGTTGGATGAACATAAATCCTAGCTTTTCATTTGTTTGTTTAGGATGTTCATGAACAAATTTAAGGTTTGCTTGTTCAATAAATTGTTTGCTAAATATGTTCACGAACATAGCTCGTTAAGGCTTGTTTGTTTAAAGCTCGATAAACACTAAACGAACGAACATGAACCAAACATGAACACCCTTAAATTAAACGAACCAAACATGAACACAAATAATAAAGCTCGAATCAAACACGAACCAAACATGAACAAGCTAATGATAAACAAACTCAAACATGAACACTCACATACTCGGCTCGGCTCGGTTCGTTTGCAGCCCTAATTGGTAGAAAAGTGAAGGTAGCACAACTGAGCATGAGATGTCATGCCGATCCCTAGCAGTAGGAGACAAATGAGTATTCTATCACTTCTTTTAGTTAATTGATTGCTAAATTTGAGTTTGGCCGCCCATTTTAAGTTTTGATATGTTTGGGCAACATAGCATTATTTTTGTTTGAAAATGATCCTCAGTTTCTTGCTTATGGTTTGACGTGGAAGTTATGTGCGGTTGTTGAAATCTAACAAGATAAACAATTGATATATCAGTTCATAGCTACCTATTAATTTTCGAAAAGAAAACACTTTTTGAAGCTATCAGCTCCATTCTTTATGAGAAGAAATTAAAGAATTTGTAATAAAAAGTAGCTCTTCATATTTAGTAAAAATTGAGTTTTATAGATATCTGATGTGTTTCTTTTATCAGCGTCTTATGCTTCTCCTTTGCTCCAACTAGCTATTATTTATTGCGTGATAATAAGCACAATGGCTCCAATTCTAGGTTCTGTCTTGCCTACGTTTTATCATCAGAAAAGTTTCAAAAGAGAAGCTTGCTGTAGAGGAGTTACAGAGACTCTTTCCAGTTGACCTCTCAACTGATATTCAGAAAACTCTTGTTACATTATTGCAGAAATATCAAAGCCAATGGGAGAAGGAAGTTGCAAGTGAGCAGGTATTAAAATTCTTTCAGAATTCTATGTTAGCCATAAATCAGATTTTTTTCAGATAATCATCCTTCTAATTTGTAAACACCTTTGCAAGAAAGTTACGAGCATTCTTGCACCAAACATTTTGGTTGTCAGGTTCTTGTTTTATTGGTCAGCACATCACTTGATGTTTGTTTCTTAAAGGGAAGAGAAAAAAATGATGAAATCCATAATACTGTCAATACTTGACAGAATACAATTTTAAAAACCACATGCCATAAATTCCATGTCAAGGCATGCATATTCAGCCGTTATTGTAAAAGCCCATGGAAGCAAACCAGTTATTCTTGTTGTGGAAGAGAAGCTTGATATGCGAGATAATACAAAGAAATGCTATTAGATAGTGTGGAGAGTTATAGTAGCAACTCAAGTTTCATTTGGGAATGCTTTTCAGCTGCTGATGTAAGCACAAGTGTAAGAAAACTGAAACAAAGAGAACAATGGATAGAACTCAAACCAGACTCTATTCAAATAGTAGCAATCATCTATGATATTCAAAATCCGACAAAGAAAACACGAAGAGACTTTAAAGAAACAAAGAAAATAAAAACAACGCAATCCTTAGACAACCGTCAGAGCGGATTTCTCACATGCATCGAAGTGTAGGTTAAATAAGATAACTGCATAGGGATAGCAAACCGATGGTCCACCACTGCAAGATCGTCCAATTCTTCCAACAAATGCTTCCAAGTCAACCAACAAACACTACCAAAGCTCGAGAAGAAGGATACAGATGGAGTGGTACTTGCGGAGAGACGAAAGAGGTTAGAAGCCAAGACGAAGGGTGGAAAGAGCGCGCAAGATTTTCAGAAGGGGTGGAGAAGAAGAATGGAACAAGCTCGCAAACTTTTCCAATAACCCGCATGTCAATAGCAAATTTGCTCACAATAATCAACTACTCTTCACAAAAACATCTCATATTTATAGGCAAGATAGGAGAATAACAACAACCATTTTTAATGAATTTCCACAAAAACCCAAGCATCATAAGTCATGAATTTCCCCTTTGCTTTTCACGGAAAACAACCCAGCTCAGGAATCGAAGGAGCAACCACGGGAACCAGAGGGACCGCACGGAACCGAAGCACCAAAAGCCACGGGAGGACCCTCCAGCTCGGAAAACCAGCAGCCACCGTGGGAACCAAGGAGCCTAGGTACGATATTCATCCATCACAGAAAAACACAGCCACAGATTCCCAAGAGACAAGAAGAAAGGGGAAAGAGAAGGGGCAAGTCCACTCCAAAAATTGAATCCAACTTATGAGCTTACTTTTAGAACATTAATGAGCTACTAAACTTCAGCTCAAGCAACTAAGAGAATGAGCTCAACACCAACTTTCTCCATATATCACCATAGGCCCCAAAACCGTGGACCATAAGCCAACCCGTGAACCAGCAGCAGCCAAGGACTAATCGAGCCAGCAAACCAAAGGTCTACCAAACCCCATGCATAACCTACCATGTTCATTGGATGCTTTCCCATCATTGGATAGCTAAAAAAAAAGAACATAAAACATACTAATGTTCAATAAAAAAATAAAATACAGAAATATTTGATAGCATCAATTCCCCTTTGGTGGAAAATTCTCATCTCCTGATGAGAACGTATCAACAACTCTTTCATATAGCTCCAAATTTTTATTTTTTAGATCATCAGCATCAATCCAGGTGCAATCAGTCAATGGTCGATTGCTCCATTTGACTAAGAACTTCTTGTGTTCCCCATGTCTTATTTTAGTGACTTTCATATCAACAACATCTTCAATATGATCTTCAGACTTTGCCACAGGAGCAGAGAGTGGTAGCGTTTCAATGTCTGCAAAATCGTCAGAATTTCCTTCATACACAGATAAGTCAAAAACATTAAAAGCAGGAGAAGTGCCAACAGTATTTGGTAGGTCCAGTAAATAGGCATTAGTGCCTAATTTTCGAATCACACGAAAAGGGCCAAATTTCTTTCTGCTTAACTTTTTAAAAGTATAAATAGGAAATCGTTGGCGACGAAAGTAAGCCATAACTAAGTCACCCACATTGAAATTCACTTCTTTTTGATGTTTATCAGCAGTAGACTTATACTTAGCAGTAACTTTTATGAGTTTTTCAAGAACTTGTTGTTGGACAGTCTTTATGTGGTCAAATGTTTCAAAAGCTTCAGCACTAGTTTTTTTAGGTAAGGATAAGGAGTTTCTATCCAAAATGTGAGGAATAGGTTGCCCATAAATAATTTCAAATGGAGTTTTGCCAGTGGAACGATTAATAGAATTATTGTAAGCGAACTCAGCCTGAGGCAACACTAAATCCCATTGAGACGATTTTTCTCCAGCAAGATATCTTAATAAATTTCCCAAGCTTCTGTTCACTACTTCAGTTTGCCCATCAGTTTGAGGATGATATGCACTACTAAATTGAAGAGTAGTTCCAAGTTTTGCCCACAGAGTTTTCTAAAAATTTCTTAAAAATCTAGTGTCACGATCTGTAGTAAAAGTATGAGGAATACCATGCAGCCGAACAATTTCTTTAAAAAATAAATCAGCGATGTAAGAAGCATCAGAAGTTTTCTTGCAGGGAATAAAATGTATCATTTTACTAAATCGATTCACAACCACAAAAACAGTCAAATTTTCGAAAAGTGACCAGCAAACCCAAAATGAAATCCATAGAAATATCCTCCCAAGGTTTGTTTGGAATAGGCAGAGGAGTATACAAACCAGAATTTTGTGCAGTTCCTTTAAAAGCCTGTCATACCTTACATTGTTTAACCAGTTTAGCATTGTCTTTTCTCATGTGAGGCCAGAAATATTTTTCTTCAACTAAAGCAATTGTTTTTCCTGGCCCAAAATGTCCTCCCAAACCTCCACTATGCAATTATTTCACAAGTTGTTCTCTTAAAGAACTCTTAGATATGCAAAGTCTAGTTCCCTTAAACAAAAAACCTTGATGTATAACAAATTGAGCAGTAGGATCAGTTCCAGAAGAAAAACAAGCACTCAAATATTTTTTAAATCAGAATCACTTGCATAAGTTTCTTTCAAAAAAATTAAAAGAAGTAACAGTTGGAAAAACAGTTATCAATAAGTGAGATCTTCGACTTAAAGCATCAGTAATTTTATTTAAAACCCCAGTTTTATGTTTGATATGAAAAGAGTACTCTTGCAAAAAAGAAATCCATTTAACATGTCTTTTGTTCAGTTTTTTTGTGAATCTAAAAACCGTAAAGCCTCGTGATCAGTATTCAAAATAAATTCTCGTTGAACCAAATAGCATCTCCAGAATTTCAAGGCTTGAACAATGACATAAAATTCCAAGTCATAAGTAGAATATCGAGATCGAACATCATTTAACTTTTCACTAAAATATGCAATAGACTTTCCTTCCTGACTCAAAACAGCACCAATACCAACATGCGAAGCATCACAATCAACTTCAAAAACTTTTTCAAAATTTGGCAGGCTAAGAATTAGAGTTTGACTCATTTTGAGTTTGATCAGTTGAAAAATAGTTTCAGCCTCAGGGGTCCATTTAAAAGTTCCTTTTTTTAAACAATTAGTGATAAGAGCGATTACAGTACTGAAGTTTTTAACGAATCGACGATAAAAAGATGCTAACCCATGAAAACCTCTTACCTCACTGATATTTTTAGGAACAAGTCAGCTTCTTATTGCCTCAATTTTCACAGGATCTATTTTGATTCCCTTAGCAGACACAATGTAACCCAAGAATGTCAAACTCGAAGTCATAAAAGAACATTTCTTTAAATTGATGTACAGTTTTTGTTCTCTCAAAGTTTTCAAAATTTCTTTGACATGTAAAAGATGTTCAGATGGGCGAATGCTGTAAATCAAAATATACAACCACAAACTTTCTAATAAAAGGTCGCAAGGCATGATTTATAGTTCGCATAAAAGTACTCGGAGCATTAGATAAACCAAAAGGCATAACAAGCCATTTATATAAGCCCTCTTTGATTTTAAAAGCAGTTTTCCATTCATCCCCATGTCTAATTCTTATATGATGATACCCACTTTTCAAATCAATCTTTGAGAAAATCTTAGCACCACTTAGCATATCATGCATGTCATCTAACATAAGAATTGGAAATCGGTATTTGATGGTTATTTTATTTATGGCTCGGCTATTTACACACATTCTCCAAATTTCATCTTTTTTAGGAGTAAGCAAAGCAGGTACAACACAAGGACTCAGACTTTCCTGGATTAAACCCTTTTCCAATAGTTCAAATACTTGCTTAGAAAGTTCTTAATGTTCATTTGGACTCATTTTGTAATGTGAACGATTAGGCAATGTAGCTATAGGAATTAAATCAATATGATGTTGAATGTTTCTCAGTGGGGGTAAATCAACTGGTAAATCATCAAGTATTAAATCAGAAAATTCATCAAGCAACGGTTGTATTTCTTTAGGAATTTCAAAGATTAAATCAGTCTCTTTTCCAAGAACTTTTATTTTATCTAGTGAACGTAGGCTCCTCTACGTTCGGTTTTAGACCAAAACAGCGCAATACCGAGTACCGAGTACCGAGTTGTACCGATTTTTTAAAAAAACTCGGTATTGCGCTGTTTTGGTCTAAAACCGAACGTAGAGAAGCCTACGTTCATTGGATAAAATAAAAGTTCCTTTTCCAAGCACCAAATATATCACATCCGATTTTGTTAATTCATTTGTGTTCAGAAGCAATTCAGAGGTGGAAGATTTCGCAGGCTTTTTGTTCTTTGTTACCGAGTCAGGAATGTTTCTTTGTGGAAAAAGTGTGAACTCTTTATTATCTTTAATTAAGGAATATGTGTTCTTTTCTCCATTGTGGATGGTTTTATGATCATACTGTCATGGACGACCTAAAAGGATATGACAGACTTCCAGAGGTACAACATCACAGACAATTTGATCTTTATAAGTTCCTCCAATTGTTAAGTTCACTGTGCATTGTTTGTTTATAGGAACCTCATTC